GTGGAATAGTCAAATTGCCTTTGAGAGGTTATTAATATATATCATATCAAAAGGATTATGCCATCTTTAATAGGTCACAATAATGTTCATCACATGTATTAACCATAAGTTAGCTTAAACCATTGCCTTGAATCCGGATATTTACTCAAGGAAACAGTAACTAGAAATAAATAATAATTGGCTTACCTGCCACACGTAGGCTCAGCTTTCATGTAAGGAAAACACGTTAAGATATTTCTCCAAATTCTTGGTGAGATGGTCCCCTTTATTGCAAGTTGACAAGATCTTTTAAAGATTTTGTATGTGACAAATAGTAACTTAATCAAATCGCGCAATCTTGTTCAAAAGAGTTAGCAAGACGACCAAGGATAAGGGGATCAGTACTGGATTAAAAAAGATATAAAATGTTGATTTTACCAGATAAAACATCCATGCAGAGGTATAGGTTATAAGTTAAAAGGAATCTTATGTTCTTGGTTCAGATGGTTGAATCAAACATGTTCTTGAAGGTCAGACAGCAAAATATTTTGCGGTGTTGTGGAGCCGTACCATTCTTCAATGCTACTCAACCGTCCTTGTAGTGCGATGGCAGCCCAGGACAATACGAATGAAATATCTGGCTACATTCAATAAAAACTTATTTATGGACCTAAATTAATTTCATAAATTTTTGTGTACACAAATATCATCCTGGTTTTTTCAACCATTAAAAAAAAAAACATAAAGTGAAACAATTCTGTTGCGGCTGGCGAAAACACATGTGGGGGGATTTGCGTGCCCTTGATCAAGACTCAGCAATAAAACTATTTTGACAGACTATTGCGCACATTTAATTCGCAAAATGAACTTTTTAAAAAGTGCTCCGGATATGGAGTTAAATTTAAGAAGGAAAGAATCTGAGTTCTAGAAGAAATTAAGAAGTTAAGCAAGCAGACTAGCATAGACTTGACCTAAGGATCGGAGAGGAGGTTACCGGACGACTCCCCATGGGAGAGCGTGCAGAGGAAAACTGGAAGCAGAGACCCCTCCCGAGTAGCCTGAACGGGGGCAAGGAGGGGAGAGGTTCAACTTCCCCTCCCGTTGCATCTGAACTCTGTGAGCTCCCAAGTAGGAGGACGAGACCGCGGACAACCACCCCAGTGACGTCCACGCGCCAGCGAGCGTTAACCGTAGTCGCAGGTGCACCAGCTCCAACTTCCCTAGGGCACCCTCCCTGATGCACGATGGAACTCGCGCAGGTTCATATTGCTCCATTCTCCCTCGCCCCGCACACTAACTGTGGCTGCTGAGAGAAGGCCAATATAGCCCCTAGCCTCAGCATCACCTAGGGAACAGGACCTTCTCCTTTTGGGCCCTGACCAGCTGACTGAGGGAACTCAGCGGGTGAGCTCCTACCCGCCAGCCCCTGCCCAGGGCGCTGACCTGGACTCAGGAGAACGGCAGACCTGAGCGAGAGCACACCACCTAGCTTGGGCTCCCCATGGGTGAATAGGACCCACCTCCCTCCTTTGGTAGGGTCAGGATTTGAGTCTGGAGGCCAAGGTCGACTGTCAGACCAAGA